GATTATCGGCGTCGGTGGGCGTCAGGCTGACGATGAGCGTCGACACGCCCTACTCAGATTGGTGTGTCCCGCACCGTCGGGTCTTTTCAGCCGGGCCGATACCTTTTCGGCTGAAAACTCAGTCGGCAAAATAAATCACTCTGATTGGCTGTTCAGCTAGCGAATCAGTGCATGAGAAGCGAAACGGAAGTGAGGGACCCAAACAAACGATTAAGAAGGCTAATCTGAGATGTCATTGAACTCCAGCTCTCGACACAGGTTCGGGAAAGCCCCGTGAGCTTCTCGCTGTAGAGTGAAAATGGCACACGCTATTTGTTTATATCACGCAGTCTGTTCTTCTTCTCTCGGTTATCACGCAGTCTGTCTTCCGGTTGCCTCTTTTGAATGACGAATACACACTACCGCCGCCTGCTGGTAAGGAGAGGTATTGCCACTCACGCATGCGCAGTTCGTACGTGCTTCTTGGCCGTCGGCTGAAGGCTTTGCGGTGTGTTCCAGTGCGACACATGGCCAAGACGCGGAGACGTGAGGCGACGCAACAGTCCGGTCCGTCTGTGTCAGTTCTTTGGTGTCAGCTTGGTGTGTCCCTACCTTAACGGTCATGTACTGTGGACAATACCCACAGGAGCAGATTCAGATGAAGTGTCTTGCCCAAGGACACAACGGCTTTACAGACGCAGCGGCGGCGGGTTTCGAACTGGTGTTCCCCAACGCCCCCTTGTCTGATGATCAGCGCACAGCCCACTGCGCCACTCTGTCCCTAATATAAGGGACTTAGAGAGCCGAACGCTATATCATTAATCGGTATTTTGACAAAAACTGGTGAATATGGATTATTTAGTCTATCACATTGACTTCTACACATTCACATGGGTTAAAAGACTGATAACTGAGAATAAGTACTTGAGTTTGAACTAGTGCTACACCTTTTACAGTGCAGTAGTACTGTCTGGCACTCTAGGGGTGTTTTTGTATTAAAAAGTTAATGATATGTTGTCCAAATAACATCATAATCAGCCTCCAAAATCTACCGTTTGCAATTTAGCATGTGCTGTAATTAATTAATTAATCTGAGGCCATGGTTCTCAGCAGGAAACCGATGGACTGTCCACTCCAAGTAGGGAATGAGTCCTTACCCCAAGTGAAGGAGTTCAAGTATCTCGGGGTCTTGTTCTCGAGTGAGGGAACAATGGAGCGTGAGATGGGCCGGAGAATCGGAGCAGCGGGAGCGGTACTGCAGTCGCTTTACCGCACCGTTGTGACGAAAAGGGAGCTGAGCCAGAAGGCAAAGCTCTCTGTCTACCGGGCCATTTTCGTTCCTACCCTCACCTATGGTCATGAAGGATGGGTCATGACCGAAAGAACGAGATCGCGGATACAAGCGGCCGAGATGGGTTTTCTCCGCAGGGTGGCTGGTGTCTCCCTTAGGGATAAGGTGAGAAGTTCGGTCATCAGGGAGGGACTCGGAGTTGAGCCGCTCCTCCTTCGCGTCGAAAGGAGCCAGTTGAGGTGGTTCGGGCACCTAGTAGGATGCCACCTGGGCGCCTCCCTAGGGAGGTGTTCCAGGCACGTCCAGCTGGGAAGAGACCAAGGGGTAGACCTAGGACCAGGTGGAGGGATTATATCTCTTCGCTGGCCTGGGAGCGCCTTGGGATCCCCCAGTCAGAGCTGGTTGATGAGGGGAGAGGAACGTTTGGGGCTCTCTGCTGGAACTGCTACCCCCGCGACACGACCACGGATAAGCGGGAAGAAGATGGATGGATGGATGGATGGATGGGACTGTAGGGCATGACCTTTAGCACTGGACTTTTCGAAGAGGAGCCGATGGCCCTTTTACATACTCTAAATTTAAATGTTTTAATACAGAAGTCATCAAGTTTCTCTTTAATCTTAATTCTCTTGGACTCTGAGGTATTTCTTTTATTTTCAAAGAAGCCATTTTGTGCTTTTTTGGGTTTGAGAAATGGAAGGAGAGAGATAGAAAGAAAGAGAGAGAAAGACACAAATGGACATACTGTAGAGACAGAAATGGACGCGGGAGAGAGAGAGAGAAATGGACAGAATTTGAATCAAAGCAGTAAAGGTACACCCTGCTTTCTTTCATACGTGTGCACCAGCTTGTTTAGGTCCGTATAGATGGGATGTATCATCGTCTTCCTTCACTCGACATCCTCCTCAGTGTGTATTTATAAGAGTGTGTGTCATCTTGTACGATTGTGAACGGCAGCCATGCTTTGGCCGCTGCTTCAGATGTAATTTGTGTCATCGCTGCCGTTATGGTGTGATTTCAAGAGCTTAAGGCAACAGCTGTTCTCTGATGCTCGGACTGTAGTGGCTGCATCACATTTACGTCTGTCTCAGTTCATTGCTGTCTCTTCCTGTCTGTTTCTCTGTCTCTATGTTCATTTCTCTGTCTCTTCCTGTCCATTTCTCTGTCTCCATGTCCATTTCTCTGTCTCTTCCTATCCATTTCTCTGTCTCTATGTCCATTTCTCTGTCTCTATGTCCATTTCTCTGTCTCTATGTCCATTTCTCTGTCTCTATGTCCATTTCCCTGTCTCTATGTCCATTTCTCTGTCTCTATGTCCATTTCTCTGTCTCTTCCTATCCATTTCTCTGTCTCTATGTCCATTTCTCTGTCTCTATGTCCATTTCCCTGTCTCTATGTCCATTTCTCTGTCTCTATGTCCATTTCTCTGTCTCCATGTCCATTTCTCTGTCTCCATGTCCATTTCTCTGTCTCTATGTCCATTTCTCTGTCTCTTCCTGTCCATTTCTCTGTCTCCATGTCCATTTCTCTGTCTCTTCCTGTCCATTTCTCTGTCTCCATGTCCATTTCTCTGTCTCCATGTCCATTTCTCTGTCTCTATGTCCATTTATCTGTCTATTCCCGTCCATTTCTCTTTCTCTATGTCCATTTCTCTGTCTCTATGTCCATTTCTCTGTCTATTCCTGTCCATTTCTCTGTCTCTATGTCCATTTCTCTGTCTCTATGTCCATTTCTCTGTCTATTCCTGTCCATTTCTCTGTCTCTATGTCCATTTCTCTGTCTCTATGTCCATTTCTCTGTCTCCATGTCCATTTCTCTGTCTCTATGTCCATTTCTCTGTCTCTATGTCCATTTCTCTGTCTATTCCTGTCCATTTCTCTGTCTCTATGTCCATTTCTCTTTCTCTATGTCCATTTCTCTGTCTCTATGTCCATTTCTCTGTCTCTATGTCCATTTCTCTGTCTCTATGTCCATTTCTCTGTCTCTATGTCCATTTCTCTTTCTCTATGTCCATTTCTCTGTCTCTATGTCCATTTATCTTTCTCTATGTCCATTTCTCTGTCTCTATGTCCATTTCTCTGTCTCTATGTCCATTTCTCTGTCTCTTCCTGTCCATTTCTCTGTCTCTTCCTGTCCATTTCTCTGTCTCTATGTCCATTTCTCTGTCTCTATGTCCATTTCTCTGTCTCTATGTCCATTTCTCTGTCTCTTCCTGCCCATTTCTCTGTCTCTTCCTGTCCATTTCTCTTTCTCTATGTCCATTTCTCTGTCTCTATGTCCATTTCTCTGTCTCTATGTCCATTTCTGTCTTTGTTTCTTTATCCATTTCCATCTCTTTATTCTTTATTTACACGTCTGTCTCTCACTGTCCACCGCTGTCTGTTCTAGTCCATTTTTTGTCTATGTCCTTGTTATGTCTTTCTCCATCCATTACTGTCTTTTTCTGTCCATTTATGATACTCTCAATATTTATTTGTGTCCCTCTCTCCACCCATTTCTGTCTCTTTTTGCCCATTTCTGTCTTTCTTTCCATCCATTTACTGTCTCTTTGCGTCCATAGCTGTCTCTTTCTGTCCATTTATATCCTTCATTGTCCATTTATGTCCTTCCCTCCACCCATTTTTGTCTCTCTCTGTCCATCACGGTCTCTGTCTATCAATTTTCTGTCTCTTTCTGCCCATTTCTGTTTCTTTCTGTCCATTTGTCTCTTTCTGTCCATTTATATCCTTCCTTGTCCATGTATGTCCTTCCCTCCATCCATTTTTGTCTCTCTGTCCATCACGGTCTCTGTCTATCAATTTTCTGCCCATTTCTGTCTCTCTGTGTCCATTCCCCAAATTCAAAAAGAAAGCCTAATAGGGCTTCTTTCAAATAAAAAAAACACCTCGGAGAATCGAGATTAAAAAGGGACTTGGAGAACTTGTGAATTAAACCCATGGAAGTATTTAAAAATTAGGAGACTGTTAAAAAGCTCATCTGCTCGGCTTCAACACTAAAATAATAATGACCTTGTCCAACTGGTTCAGTATCCTTTTAAAGTAAACCAGCCTTAATTGGCAGCGATTCTGAAGATCTGAGGGCTGTAATGAAACTAGATTAAATCCAGTGCCTAAGAGTCAACTTTAATTAATTACAACACATGCTAAATTGAAAATGGTAGATTTTGGAGGCTTATGGACAACTTTGAATTAAAAAACACCCCAGAGTCCCAGACAGTCAAGTACACAATTAACGAGACCACTACGCTCGTTAAAAGCTTCAAACTCAAGTCATTTCTCAAGCTTTCGGTCTTTCTAACTCGTGTAAATGTGTAGAAGTCAATGTGACAATCCGACAAAAGAAACCATAATTCACCATGACAGCTTTTGTATTAATGTTGGTTAATCATATAGTGTCTGGATCTCTAATTGCAGAGGAAATTACTTATAGAAAGGATCATGTGATTAGACTTATCACGACCAAATCTGTGAAAAAATATGGATTTCAAGAGAAGCTCTAATTAGAGTTAAAAGTAGAAAAGCATGAGATCATTTTGACAGAAAACAGAGGGGGGTTTCTTAATTCATCCAATTATAAGTTCAGAATCTGGCGTTCGTTTCAAGTCATTTTTCACTCATTAAAAGCTTGTTTTGATCTTTAAAATTAATAAGTTTCATCGTCTACAATTAGTAAGAAAGAAATAAACATGTTTCTTCTAATTAAACATGTGGTTACTAATGAATACATGAGTTATTATGCAACGGTGCTCACTCCATTTGGGTTGAATTGGCTCACACAAAATAATGAGATGACACCCAGACAATTTCCTCTAGTTTTAAGGTGAACTTCAATTCTGTTTCCTGTTATTGTTACACATACCACTGCAAACACACACGACACACACACACTCTCTTCCCTGCAGAATACACTGTGTGTGTGAGAGGTTTCCTACCAGAAGGGGCATGGCGAGGTCAGCGAAGTAGACGAACGCTGCTCCAAGTGTGAACCCCACCGCCACAGGGACGAAGGCAAACGAGCCATATTTCCCAGAATCCTCGGCCATGCCGATCGCCGGCGCCAGCAACGACCAATAAGAAGCAGCCAGCATCACCTGAGAGATGAGAGGAAAGAGAGAAATTAGATAAGATGAAACCATCGTGTGTGTGTGTGTGTGTGTGTGTGTGTGTGTGTGTGTGTGTGTGTGTGTGTGTGTGTGTGTGTGTGTGTGTGTGTGTGTGTGTGTGTGTGTGTGTGTGGACACATGAGGAAATGCAACACACACCAGTTGGAATTGGTATAATCATAAAGGGTTTATTTTAAATAACAGGGTAAACAAAGTGGCAGGCACGCAGCCTGGAACAAACAAAAAGGGCAAAAGGCACAGGTTGATAAATAACCAAACAAAAGGAGGACTCTAAAAAAGGAGTCTAATTACATGCAGGGAAAATAAATAATAATACACTAAATAAGGAACGAAACAAAACCTCCCTTTAACAGAACAACAAAAGGATTTTGTACAAAAACACAGCTAAACTAAAGGCAACCGTCACAAAATCCTCAACTACTCTACGCTCTAACTAAGCTACTCTACGCTCTAACTAAGCTACTCTACGCTCTAACTAAGCTACTCTAAACACTAACTAAGCTACTCTACGCTCTAACTAAGCTACTCTACGCTCTAACTAAGCTACTCTACGCTCTAACTAAGCTACTCTAGACACTAACTAAGCTACTCTAAACACTAACTAAGCTACTCTACGCTCTAACTAAGCTACTCTAGACACTAACTAAGCTACTCTAGACACTAACTAAGCTACTCTACGCTCTAACTAAGCTACTCTACGCTCTAACTAAGCTACTCTACGCTCTAACTAAGCTACTCTAGACACTAACTAAGCTACTCTAAACACTAACTAAGCTACTCTACGCTCTAACTAAGCTACTCTAGACACTAACTAAGCTACTCTAGACACTAACTAAGCTACTCTACGCTCTAACTAAGCTACTCTACGCTCTAACTAAGCTACTCTACGCTCTAACTAAGCTACTCTAGACACTAACTACTCTACGCTCTAACTAAGCTACTCTAGACACTAACTAAGCTACTCTAGACACTAACTAAGCTACTCTAGACACTAACTAAGCTACCCTACGCCAGAGTCCTGCACGGGTCTGATTTTCAAGACCCGCTCCCGCCCCGAACCTGCCCCGAACCTGTCCTGCTCTACGCTCTAACTAAGCTACTCTAAACCAGAGGTTGCGCTAGACTTTTTCGCTGCCCGTCATTTTGACGGACAGGATCGTAACATTTCCGTCAAAATCCATTATTACCCGTTGGTCTGTACACAACTGACGGGAGGGGGGGGAAGAGCACGCTCGTAAACTGTCAACAGGGGGGGGGGGATTAGCGCTGGTGTTATGCCGTGACTGCTTTCAGATTTTTCCGTCATTGTCAAAAGAATTCCGTCTTAGACGGAATATATTCGGTTAACGTGACCTCTGCTCTAAACACTAACTAAGCTACTCTAAACACTAACTAAGCTACTCTACGCTCTAACTAAGCTACTCTAAACACTAACTAAGCTACTCTACGCTCTAACTAAGCTACTCTACGCTCTAACTAAGCTACTCTAAACACTAACTAAGCTACTCTACACGCTCTAACTAAGCTACTCTACTTACGCTCTCAACTTAGCTACTCTAAACACTAACTAAGCTACTCTACGCTCTAACTAAAGCTACTCTACTGCTATCCTCTAACTAAGGCTACTCTCGCTCTAAACCTAAGCTACTCTAAACACTAACTAAGGCTACTCTAAAACACTAACTAAGCTACTCTACGCTCTAACTAAGCTACTCTACGCTCTAACTAAGTCTACCTACCTCTACAGCTACTCTAACCTCTACTAGCTACTCTACGCTCTAACTAAGCTACTCTAAGCTCTAACTAAGCTACTCTACGCTCTAACTAAGCTACTCTAAACACTAACTAAGCTACTCTACGCTCTAACTAAGCTACTCTACGCTCTAACTAAGCTACTCTAAACACTAACTAAGCTACTCTAGACACTAACTAAGCTACTCTACGCTCTAACTAAGCTACTCTAGACACTACTATTACACAATATCACACGGAGATGTACACAGGCTTTGTAGTCATCTCCAGCAGGTGTGCGCTGGCTGTGCGCTGCGATTGGAGGGCGTCGGGTCCGGCGTGCTCCAATCACAATCTTCGGGGCGGACCAGAGGCCTGTACTACGAAGCAGGATTTTCGCTTAGCCGGATAAATTCAGGGAAAACTCGGGGTTTCCGGTCCTACGAAGCTAGTTCTCTTTTTAGCGGGCTAGATCTCCATGGTAACTGATGCTGAGCGGCTAACCTGCCCCGGAGCAGGTTAGGTTGCAGACTAAGAGATCAACTCAGTGAAAGCACTGCCTGCTGACCAATCAGAGCTCAGTGTGCAGAGTTTAAAGCGATCAAGTCATATTACAGGAGAAAGGAAATACAGAAAAGCTGCCGTTGCAGGAAAGACGGCCGGCAAAAATCACCGACTGTGTGAACGTGAAAATGAATAGATTATCACCTCCATCTTCAGAGCAATCTGACTATTATAACATTAGCGTTAAGAAAGCTTACTGAAATATCTGCCACAACATAAGTAACCGGATCAAAGTAACATTACTTACAGTCCGCGGCACTGTGAGTGCAGACGTCGATGTGTCCCATTATCATTCATATCATATCACATCATAATATATCATATATCTCCTGATCTGAGTCAGCTGAGCCGTATCTGGCCGTGCAACACTCACAGTGTCACATACTGTATGCAGAAGTATTATTTTAAGCAACACATTAAGTTGACAAAACACTCGAGTCAAATGTAATGAAAGTCAGATCGTGTTTTAGACGGGGCAGTGATATCATAAACCTGTTAATGTACGCATTCAAACACTTGTTCTGTTCCCAGCTGTATTCACCTTGCAGCTGCAGCTCTGTGGCTTTGATCCTGGATAAAGTGTTTAAGTCATGGATGTTTAAAGTTTAACTTCTTCATTTTTGACTAGTATTAAAGTTCACTTTTCATTCAGGAAGTATGACGCTGAGCTGTCAGTGCGCTTCTCCATGTTTGTGATTGGTCGAATGCTCCAGATACCACCCCTCTCATGTGAACACCTAACTAGATAGGACACGGCTGGCTTGAGCGATCCACTTGATAACCCGCATTGTAGGACAGTTTAGCGACAGCGCGTATGTTTTGGATTAGGCCAACCGGCTAACTCAAACATATCCAGGTTAGGTTGAACTAGATTCGTAGTACAGGCCCCTGGAGGTGGCAGCCAATGACGTGAGGGCAACTGCACAGCTCATTTACATAAAACAGAGTTAACAGGACCGGAGAGGCGACGGCCGTCACAGTGTGTGTGTGTGTGTGTGTGTGTGTGTGTGTGTGTGTGTGTGTGTGTGTCCATATTTCTATACAAGTGCTATGTCTTTCTTTCAGCTTCATGTATGCAGCGTATCTTCAGCGTCTGTTGTTCATCACTCAAAGTAGCTTCCTGCCAATCTTGAGTCTGATTGGGCTCAGCTCCTCACCACACACACACACACACACACACACACACACACACACACACCTATCAGCACAGGATAAAAGAGTGTGTGTTCACTCCTGCCAATCAAAAGTAATGGAGGCTCATTGTCAGTCTGCAGAAGTCATACACTGCGAGAAGCAAATCTAGTCAGAGACACAGAGAGTATGATTGCAACTCAGAAACTGGATCTTTGGGAGCGGAAAACTTGTGAATTATGTAAAAACTCTAAAGTTTAGAAGTTGAATCACCAACGTCTGGCAGCAATCACATCCTCGCCATGATTGCAGGGAATTGATACCGTCCTGTTTTCCATCGACACTATGACCTACAGTTGTAGGAAACTAATCTTGTTACTGGCAACAGAAATAAGGCGATGATATTGAAGAAAAGCTAAAAGCAACTTAACACAAACTGAACTCACTAAGAATCTTAGGGTGCGTTCACACCTGCCTTGTATCGTCCGGTTGAATCGAACCCTGGTGCGTTTAGCCGCTTGGTTCATTTGGGTCGGTGTGAACGCAGTCCTCTGAAGTGAACTAAACAACCGGACTCTGGTCCGCTAAAATAGGTGGTCTCGTAGCGCTTGCTTGCGAACTCTGGAGCGGTTCATTGCTGGTGTGAACGCAGTCCGCACCAAAACATAGGAAGCGTGGTATTTACGTGTCACAAGAACGGGGATATCTTCAAAATCTTTAGCGAAAGAGTCTTTCAAGACATCCGCGGTTGTTCATTTAAAGAGTGAAGCAGAATGAAGTGTTGAACAGTGTCGTGTGAAGTAAAGATTCTCCGTCAGCTACATAAAAGTCAGAGCCACCTGTCGTCGGTGAAACCTCCTCCTGACTGCAGAACGTCTCATTATGTGTTATACTGTTTGATCTGATTATATAATCATATGCGCGGGCCGCTAGAGTCTGTTGATCTCCAGATTAACAGCAGCATGAGAATAACCTGCAGAAAGTGCCGATGCTCCATGGCGGAGGCTCCGGTAGAAATTGCCGGGATTTGCGTTTTTACCCCCTTAATGTCTGACCAATGGGTGAACAGCATTTCCGAGCACATGACTTGTGTTTAAAGTTTATAGTCCGTTTGAGTTTTGCCGTGTGAACGCAAACCGAACCTTCTGGAAAATGAAACGATGGAACAAACTGTGGTCTGGTGCGCACCAGAGAGAGGACTATTAGGTGTGAATGCGACCTTAGAGATGTTTTAAGTATCAGCATTATAAAATAATGACTTCGGGTCGTGGCTGAACCTGTCTCTGCGGTCCTGCCTTGGGTCTCGTCATGCTGCTTCCCTGATGGCTTCCACAGGATTGTAGCTGACATCCTCGTGGATTCATCTTCTTATTACAGACACATGCATTTCCTAACATTCGGTCTATATGCTGTAAAATGTATTATCTCTTCGATTTACACACGGCATCTATTGCACGTCTGTCCGTCCTGGGAGAGGGATCCCTCCTCTGTTGCTCTCCCTGAGGTTTCTCCCATGTTCCCTTTAAACTGTGGGTTTCTCT